CGCTATGTTTAATTAAGGAATGGCTCATAACGCTTGCCCACTGTGGTTCCATTGCCAACCGCGGCATCTGTATAAATCGACAGGACGTCGGTACTGTTCTTGTACTCGACACCACACTTCTCGGAGAAGCCAGAGAACTGGTCCACTCTATCTTGCAAATATGTCTCGAAACCCTTTCTGGAGCAGGAAGTGCCGGGGCCATCGGCGCAATCAGGAAGGGGTTGGGGTGCGCTGTTTACCAGCACACGGTAGTAGTCGCCATTATCGTACCCATAGGCGCCGGTGCAGTTCAGACGCTCAACGGCAATGTTGCCAAGGAATGGCAGGATGCTGGAGGCCTTCCATGCACGGCGGTAATTGATGCGGTCAAGCGGCATGGTGTCGTTGATGGAAGCCTCGCTGCCACCAAACTCAGAGTTATTGAAAAGACCCATCGCAACGATGACCATAGGAGGCAGTTCACGGTGAGTGAAGCTAACATAGATGTCCTCATCGCTTGAGTCACCCATGAGCAGGTTTGCGGTGGCGTTCAGCCAGGGGAGACCGACATATCCAGACGCCTCGGCTCCATAACCGACGTTGTAGTGGTAGCGGACGTCTTCCGTGTACTCCCAGGCGAGCCAATCGTCGGGGGTGAAGAGCTCCAAGTTGCAAAAAGGAGACTTTCCGCGAATGACGGTCTCGTATCCGCAAAGTTGCTGCATGCCAAAGATGTCGTTCGTCGTGAAGTTGAACTCTGGGGCCAAGTCATTGAAGCGGGCAATGATGGGTTTCGTGAACTTTTCCTGGTAGACGGCAGACTGTTTGCTGCCCGCAGAGGAAGAGTAAGCCGGGCAGGCCTTGTAAGGCGTCAAGCTGTCTGCGCCTGACTCCTCCGATTCGTAGATGCTGACGACGTTCATGGTGTTGTCGTCGGTCTCGAGCCCGCGCACGAGAGACTGGGCAGACTTTTCTGTCCTCTCTGCGGAAGAGGTCCATACTCTTTTGGGGAGTCTGAGGTTGGGGTATCTGAACTCGAGGTCGACGCCGAGTTGAGTCGCTTCAAGTCTTCCGACCCGTGTCAAGATCTCGGCCTCAGCCTCAGACACTGGTGCCTCCCAGCCCGACAAGAAGTTCAGGTAAGGGATCTTGCTCCATTCGATGCTCGTCTTGTTGCCCAGCTTTTCGAGGAAGGGCTCGATGTACTCTTCGAAGTCGAAGTCGTTTGCGTAAATGGCTGCATGTCGAACCAGGTAAGCTGCACGTTCTGCTTTGCATCCCTGTGGCGCGTCGGGTGATGATTGAGGGTCTTGTGATTCGAAGTACGGGGCAATGCCTCCCAGGTGTGTCAAGGGGTTGAAGCTATAGGTAGAGTACAATGCTGATGCCGAAGAGTAGGCAACGAAGGGCAGCAGTTGGATGAGCTTCGAGCTCAGACTCTGTTGGCGAGCCATTGTATCGCGCAAACGATTGTGATGAGATAAAGTCCGCAGGTTGGAGATGAAAATCAGTAGAGAGCAGAACTTTAAAATCATCTAAACATTCTGGGCAGCTGTACGGAGCTCATATAGCTTCCGCTGTGTTGACGTTTTGGTCTAATTTGAGTAGCTTCTAGCTGCGTCCAGCCATAGGTGAGATCATTGAGGAGCCGGAAAAAGTGGTAAACCTCGTTTCCCACTAGATTCCCTGTTTTGTTGACGTCAAGAGCAAATGTCTCGAACTAGGCGACTGGCTGGACCGAATGGGCAATGTGGATGTGATGGGGCTCTTAAGTTCCCCACGAAAAACCGGCAAGTCGGCTCAAAGCCAAGACGGGTGAGCTTGCTGGGCCTGTGCCTGGCCATCTCTACGTCATGTAGGGTGGGAAAATCGCCTCTATCGAAGCGCTGCGGCTCTTCCGTTGGCAACCACACCGACTTCTACCGAAATGAGCCTGGGTTGATGATTGGCACTTGAGTCTTCGGCTGATGCGTTGTGACGCTAAATGACAGCACTTGTCAGGGGCGTCCGTTGGCCGCGTGGAGCGTCAGCTCAGCGGACCGGAAGTAACGTGGAGACAGACTGGGCGCGGTGCAGACGGACTACCGATGGCGATGATCCCTTTACCTCGTGCTTTGACAAAGCCCGATGGAACGAATACGCTCGAGTTTACTGACGCGCGCAGCGTACTGTCATCCTGGTTTCCCGTCCCTGTGTTCACGGAGCTAGACATCTGGCCGAGTCCAGACTACCTACCCTGGTGTGTAGGGGCCGTGTGTGTGTTCAGCTACCTTAGCTGAAAGGTCTGCCACCATGGTCACCGATGGTGTGTCTGAGATGCCAAGAAATTCCCGAGGGTTATGCAGAGTACGCACAGTTGGATCTGCAGCACCATTGTCTCTCCTGGAATTATTAGTGCATTGTTTATTTGCTCTGCAAGACACAAACCAGGACGAACGCTCGTTCATCTATGGACCTCCGAAAAATCGATCTGCTCAACTAGCAATCACTTGTACACGTGGAGTCTGTGCTCGCGACCTGCACTGAAATTGGACGAATGCACCAGAACATTGTCTTACACACTCCCGCGATTCTCTACCAAACCCCGATCGCAGCCAAACCATCACCGGACATGCAGCCTCACAACCGGCAGATGAGGGCTGCTGACTGGACATACAGGAAATGTAGACTCGTCTTACACGTTGCTCCTCAAATGAGAACAACAAGTAAGATTCTGACATTGGAGTTGCAAACATTCTCAAAATCTTCATGAAAGCGAATCTACGCGACAAGGAAATTCCACATAGCATTTTTCAAAGACGGAGCTTGCAAAGTTCGTAACACCGGCATGGCACCTGTATCCTAACCCGGTGTTTTCGATTTCGAAAACGGAGAGTTACTACGCATTCATGCAGAACACCACAGTGCCACTGAGAAAAGAAGAAAACCCGATTTAAGGATGAAACAATACCGACTGCGTCTTGGCCAATCATAATGTCAAAATAGGCCTTTTCTCAATGATTTGTACCACATGAAGCATTTCAACGGGCTGGGTTTCCCGTAACCTCGGTCGATTTATCCCCACTCTAGATCGGACCCGATCCAGGTTTCGGCGCCGAGCGGGCTCATACTGGGCGAGTAGCTCCGGACCGGTCCAAGATTCGAGGCGCTTACCGCTACCAACGAGCTCATCCTTCCAGAAGAGTGCATCATCCACACGATGGTATGACTGCTTACATGTACTTTCTGGGTACATGTTCATGTAGATTTGTAACCTCATTGAATACGATCCAAAGTGCTAATAACTTGCAGTAACCATTACAAATGGCCCAGTGAAACTTGGAGTTTGTGGAAATCATCAAGTCTTCAAAAGGGACTGGATTCAATCACTATGAATGCGCGTGATAAGCAGCGCCTTGCAACGTCCGCTTTGGACAAGAGTATCCGAGTCCATCAATTCAAGGTAAATGACTCGCTGCAACGACACTGCTAACTGACTGACTCGTGTGGCCACGTCGAGGCTTTGAATATCTTCCGTGGCCATCTGGCTTAGCCCGAAGTCTTGGCTTTGACTTCATGTTACCTGACTTCTTATCCCACGACCTTCTGCAGAAGAATTTAACATGACAGACTCCACGCTATGGAGAACAATGGCAGATGCGCTGGGGGCTGCTAAGCCGTGCCTTCGTCAGATCCTCGAGCAGATGATGCAATCGGTCGCCTCAACCAAAGTCCAGGCAGCATGGGGAGTGGCCACAGCTGCACTAATACTGTACCTGAACCTGAAGAGGATCCCTTTTGTTTGGCATGTGAGTCATAGCTGTGGACATGATTGACTACCCTATGGAGAAATCGGTCCTAATGTTAATGCCAGTTTCGTGTGTTCAGCCACATTTGGTGGCCCAAGAATGGGCTTTTCGAGCACAAACCTGGAGCTATCTTCCAGCCGGTAGTCACGCCTTCTCGGGTTGCTCTGCTGGAGACCGACTACAATTTGCACAAGTCAAATAGCACCTACTTCTCTGATCTTGATGTTGCTAGGACGGACCTTCTCGCCGCCCTGAGAGCTCAAGCAATTGACGGCGGTCTGTACAAGGATTACAAGAGAGGTGTTCAAGTTCTGCTCGCAGGCACCTCCTGCACCTTCAAGAAGGAAATAAAGCCTGGTGCTGCCTTTAACATGCAAAGCAGAGTCCTCACCTGGGATAAGAAGTGGCTGTACATTGTAACCCATTTTGTCGAGAAGCGGAAAGGGAGCAAGTCGCCCACCTACCAACCATGGAAGGAAGTAGATGAAGGCAAGACTGACCAGTCATCGCCTCTTGTCTATGCGACAGCAATCTCGAAATGCGTTGTCAAAGCCGGTCGTCTCACTGTGCCACCGCAGAAGTTCTTCCAGGCGGCAGGAGTTCTTCCTTCGGAGGACCAACCTGAAGGATCCATTGCAGACGTCACGCCAGATGCAAATGACTTCGGAGGGTGGACTTGGGCAAAGGTTGAGGAAGAGCGTCTGGAGGCATTGAAAATTGCTGATGGTTTTGCCGGTGGTCTAGATGCGGCGCACGAGAAAGCCAATTTGTTGGTTTGAACGTTGACCAAGTGTTTCTGTGCAATGCCAAGGCGAACATGTCGACAGAGAGACAAACTAGAATGATAGAAGGTTGAGAAGTGGACACGGAAGTTGCGGCACGCCATATAGATATGCACGTGTAGACCTGGATATCACGCAACCATCACTTTTTGCTGACGTGAGGTGCTCATATGGTCGATGGATTGGCCCTAAGAGATTCACGTGTTTTTCTTGACCCCTTGCCCTGGTCCTGATCCTTCCGATGTTGTACTTATTTAGAGTGGATGCCGCGATCCCGCTGATCACCTCTTGTTTACCGCAAAGTCTCCCTACAACCTTATCACACATCACCACGTTCCACTGATCCTTTGCCAACTACCGGTCTTATAAGTTGCGTCGCCGACGAGCGTCCATCTATACCCCAGCTTCGCGCTCTGCAGTCTTTGATTCCAACATAAATCGCTGTCCGACAATGCCGAACACCGTATATGTTATTACTGGAACCAACAAAGGCATCGGCCTTGGCCTAGTGAAGACCTTGTTAGCGAGGCCATCTACAACAGTTGTTGCCTCCGTTCGGAATGATGAAGCTGCTTCTTCACTGAAGTCCAGCGTCCGAGATGTAAACAAGGGTAACGGCAGCGAGCTTTTTGTCATATTGCTTGACTTCAACATCGCCCCTGATAGCACTGCCGTCCGCAAAGCCTTCGATACGGCGACTGGCGGCGCCGTCACCCGAATCGATGTTCTCATTAGCAACGCCGCCGTATCTGCCACAGCATCGCGCTCAGTCTTGACCACCGCCGAGGAACTAAGGAGTGCATTCGAAATCAACACCATCGCACCCTTGATGGTGTTTCAAGGTCTCTGGCCGCTCCTGGAAAGACCGCAGGAAGCAGACGGCCCCCCTGCGAAGTTCATCGGAATCACGTCATCGCTTGGATCCATCGAAGAACAAGAGCCTCTTCCTGCTGGCGCTTATGGTCCCAGTAAGGCTGCGCTTAACTGGTTGGTCAAATCGTTGCATATACAACATCCAGACTTGGTAAGCGTGGCTGTCCACCCCGGATTTGTTCGAACGTCTATGGGTGAAGATGCTGCGAAGCAGTGGAACTTTGATCTCAACCGACTTGACACGATTGAAAGCTCTGTTACTGGCGTTCTCGAGGTCATCGACGGAGCGAGTCGTGAGTCCACGTCCGGAAAATTGGTAACACAGACTGGCCAATTGATTGCATGGTGATGGGGGGTGCGTGATTTCCCATCTCCGGCCGAGTTTACCCATTTGTACGAAAATCCCGACAGACTGGGGTTCAATGGTCTTAAGCATATTCTAGATGCGTCTAGCATCATGTTGCAGTTCCCAGTAACTGCGGGATAGTTGGCTGTATGGAGTATCCTTTCGGGTAGCTGGTAATGACCATTGCCACAAGTAAAATCTCCAAGAGTACCCGCAGGCTGTAGTCTAATAATGCCATACCGCGTATCAATAATGAAAGAAGACGACTTCGAAGATCTAAAGAAAACACCTACCTAGGCTTTTGACGCGGGAAGTGCGTGACACAATCGTGTGCCGCCCAAAGTCCCAGCTCTGTTCCTACATGTACTGTTATGTCCTTTTATAGCTGTTACTTCAGGCGTGTCAACAATTACCTCCAATACTCTCTATGTTCCTCGGATAATACGTGTTGAATCAAATCGTAAAGTAATAATCTTTGTGAGTGATCTTCAGGTGCCAGGCATCCAACTAACACTGCCATTTACTGGCGTGTGTATTCGAACTACCTGAGGTACATGCCTGCTTGAGGTAAGGAATGCGACTTTTGGTGGGCGGCCGACATTACCTCGAGCGTAAAAGCCCTGTGAAGGCATACCGTTGCCTAGACTATTTCGCCCACTTCTGGCGCCAGTGGTATCGCCTGCAATTTTGATCATCTTCTTTGATAGGTTCGCAGCCGTATCACTCCATAGAAGTTTGACAACCATGGGAATCCTTCCACAAATGCCGATCACGGTCCCTGCTGCTCGCTACGACACATTTCCACAATTACGTCGCGTCTGTAGAATTAGCTGCGCTGTGGTTAGTCGGTCGGCTCTTAGCGGCGGGAAAAGTGCCGAGGAAGTTCAAGTGGATGCAACATCAAGCGGACTATGCCCGTCACTCCTCACCCATGAGACGATGTCACCGTTGAAGGGACCCAGTAAGAGGAACTTTCAGGCCTCCACCGAAACAGACCCAGCACTGGTTGCGGAGGAAGATCAGCAATTTTGGGACTTTGGTCGAGATTGTAATGCCAATTTCAGATCAAGTGGAAAACATAGAGCCGAAGTTTTTTTTTCTCTGCTACAACTCGTTCGCCATTGTCTTCAATATGGCTTTGTTCAGTTTTGGCAACATTTTGCTGCTCTCTGCAGCCTATGTGTTGTGGAAATTACTTTACCAAATCGTGTATTATCGCTTCTATCATCCGCTAGCCAAATTCCCCGGCCCTTTTTGGGGTTCGGTAACTCGACTGTGGATAACATATCATAATGTCAAGGAGGATGAGTGTCGGGTGAATCAGGAGCTTCACAAGAAGTATGGTAAGTGCACGTCTACCAAGGCATCAGGTTCACAATAAACTTATCTTGCATGTAATGAATATGTTGAGTCCATACATTCAAATAGAGTCAAAAGTTGACTCGCAATAATAGGGCCTGTCATTCGCATCACACCTACCATGTTGCTTGTCAGTGACGCAACCAAGTTACCGGAAATCTACCACCGAAATGCCAACAAGTCGCAACACTACATCACCGGCAGTTTCGGAAAGACGGAATCATTGTTCAACATGCAGGACCATGCAGTTCATGCTCGCTTCCGTAAGATCGCTGCGGCGCCTTACTCTTTTTCAAACATTCGGAAGATGGAGCCTCTGCTTGACAAGCACATCGAGCGCTGGATGTCCAGACTAGATGCATTCGCTACTTCCGGTACCAAGATGGACTTTGCTCCATGGGCAGTCTACCTTGCTTACGATATTGTCTCTGAAGTTGGCTTCGGACAGCCTTTCGGTTTCATTGAACAGGGGAAAGATGTTGAGGGACTCATCCAAGGTTTTCACGACGGCCTTGTGCCGTTTGGCATACTGGCACGGTGCTATCCGTTCACAAATTGGGTCAAGAGCACTTTCTTGGGGAAATACCTTGTCGCATCGCCGGAGCAGGACTCTGGAATCGGGACTTTGATGAGATTCCGAGACGGGCTTATCGTTCAAAGATTCAAAGACATCGAGAAAGGGACGACAGGTGGACGTATCGATTTACTACAAACGTCAGTATTCTGCCCTAAGATTACCCAAAGCTTCTCAGTATCACTTACTCACATGTTCCTAGCTTCATTGAAGCCCGGGACGAGGATGGAAACCCTCTTGATCTGGACTACATCAAAGCCGAAATCTTACTCGTCTTGCTTGCTGGAGCAGATACTACGGGCACTGCATTTCAGGCTTTCATGATGCATATCATGACACATCCCGACGTCTATGGTCGTCTCATGGCCGAGATTGACGAGCAGACTCGAGCTGGTAATCTTTCAGAGATGCCTCAGTACGCGGAAGTCCAGGAACATTGCCCATTCTATGTGGCGTGCATTCGCGAAGCCATGCGATTGGATCCTCCAGCGCCCAACATCTTTCCTCGGCTTGCTGGGAAAGGCGGTATGGAGCTTTACGGCAAGCACGTACCAGAAGGAGCTGAGGTTACTTGCAACCCGTGGCTGGTGCATCGCGACAAGAACATCTTTGGTCCCGACGCTACCGAGTTCCGACCAGAGCGATGGCTAGAAAGCGAGGAGAAGACAAAGGAGATGCTCAAGTACAACATGGGTTTTGGCTACGGGGCCAGAGTTTGCCTGGGCAAAGACCTTGCAATGATGGAATTGCTCAAAGGGCCTCTTCAATTCTTCAGGGCTTTCAAGCCAGAGATCCTCAATAGTGGAGAGCCTGGTAAGTATGTTGTGAAAGGGGGCGTCAGCTTCTTCAAGGATATGTGGGTCACCATCGAACGACGACCGAAGGCGCTGTAATTATCGCGTATGGATTTCTTGCGGTGTAACGGAAGACAGTAACCTGGTTATTTGACGTATCGATTACGAAAGAGTTCTATCTTCGGCTTTCATATACGTTGAAGCAAGTGAAGGCAATAAAGTTGCGATATGAAGATGCTGTCTTGGTATCTATCGAGGCGGGAAAAGAGAGACACGATGAGTACTCTGGCCGTAGTGGCGTACCCTGTGCCATGAGTTCCCCAGTGCTTCCGAGGAATTTGGGATGCTTGATGAAAAGCCTGGGATCGAGCTTGTATCTGTCTAGCCGACTTTCGATCTGCAAATGATTCGCAACCGCGTAGGCAACATTCGGCATGTCAAAAATGTCTGTTGCTCTAGATGTTGGCAAAGACACTGGCCCCTCGCTGGCGTCCCCATAATCGATCGTCTCTATTGCTTGCACAAGGTCCGCTACTTTGATGTACACCTGCATAGGAGGCGAGTTTACAACCAAGTCGCTTAGTGAAGCTTTGACAGCATACGTGCCGACGATGTCGCTGACAACTTGATCAATACAAGGGTTAGCGGCATGGTACCGAGTGACACAGTCACGGATGGAGGGGAAAAGAAGTCAATCAATAATTGCAGGATAGGGCATCCCCTACACGACCGGCGCGAACGCGGCTTTCTTCCTCTGGGCTGATCTTGGGAGGGCTTGGAAAAGACACAACCTTGGAACTGTCGAAGACGAGGACCTGGATGACTTCTTGATGAAGCTCTTTTTGAAACACAAGGCATATGTTTCTTCGGGAAAAGACTTTGGTTTTGAGAGTGTTGGGTGGTTCCGTATTGTGTTCTCTCAGGATGAAGCTCAGTTGCTTACTGGCCTGGAAAGAGTTGCTGCTGCACTAAACCCCGGGGTAGCACCCATACTATAAGTCAGTAGTCTCCTCGCCACGGGACCATTGAATTAATTCCACCCATCTGCAATATTCATGATCCCACCTCAAGAAATCCGGACGCTGCAGGTATCAACCTAAGCGAACATATTTTTGGATTGCTACGTAGCTCGCATTGCCGAACTGGTTAGAAAGGCTTGCAAGACCCGGGGGTTGTGATTCGCAACCTAGGTATCGACAGCACTAGGACGGGCCGAAATTGTCGATTGCAGACAGAAAGACACTGAATGCAGGGTGAATCGGGTGCTGGAAAAAGGGCCAGAAGTTCCAGCCATGACCCGGAACTAGCGTCTTATCGTTGTATCCAATTATGAACAGAAGTATGTTTCAAGTAGGTGTATCCGTACGATCCGTATGATAATTGCTGTCTCCCTCTCCCCTTTGCCGAAGCTTGAACTTGCGGGTGATCGTTCTTAATGCGGGGTAAATCTGGAGAGTTCCCCGCGCGGTGAAATCTCGCTATCGGGGCAACTAAGACTACCTCGTATTAGGCAGCATGGATACCTATGAAATTCCGGAACACCCGAGCCAATGCTCAGTGAACTTTCTCTAGGCACATGAGAAGGGGCTCTGTGGTTCTATGCCTTCGTCCACTTCAAGTGTCCTTGCTCAAATCCCGACCATGTTCCAAATAACATCACGCTGAGTCTCTCGAAACTATCTCAGCTCTCACGCTCGACACTGTCGGAATCCAATCCTGCAATGGTGCCCTCCGACGGGAGCAGTGATTATCTTACCGCACTGCGTCATCGGCGGAATAGAAGGGTCCCTTACGTCAATCAAGCATGGTAAGCCTTCCGAAGACCGCCCAGGTCAGGAAATACCTAACACGTTTCCAAGCATCGAATGCAAGAGGAAGAAGATCAAGTGCGACGGTGTCAACCCCTGCGCGGCATGCACACGGAATTCGGTCACATGCCAATACCACCCACAGCGTCGAGTTCTAGGCACTCCGAACCTCAGTTCAAAGTAAGTTACATCCCTTCAATTACATGTTGTACATCTTCAAGTAAATCTTTGGAAATCTTCTCCCCTTCGCTATCCTACCGGGGGATCTATATAGCTCACGGAAATTAAGGAACGGGGATCCAAGCAGACCTCATACTTCTCCTCAACATGAAAACTCACTCAGCGTCTCAAAAGCTGTATCTACACACACTCCATCATCACAATCGCCTGGCCAAGAGACGAGTCCTGTCCTTGAGTCTAGGCCAAATCTCATGTCATGTGACGCAAGTAGTAATTCTCCGGAGTTTTGTGGCCCATCAAGCTCTGAGTTCACTTTTGGAGTTGTCAAAGGCAATCTTGAGGCCATGGGAATCCCGCCCTCTATTTTGGACAAGTCTACTCCGAAGACCAACCCTGCCTCAAATACGCCATCTCAGCTGGCGCAATATGGGCCACTCATGAAGATTCTGGCCCGAGATCCGCTATGGGAAATCAGCCTCGAAGATGCTACCAACCACATCCGAGAGTGGTTTTCGGGCACCGGCTTTCTCTACGCCGTCGTCAGCGAAGAGCAGCTGCTCAAGGTTGCTAGTAACGTGTTTGACACTCTACGGGCCGTCAACGTTCACGAGACGCGGGGTCGAGGAACTCTGGCAGAGTGTCTTTTCCACAGTGATACTAACAAACTAAAACTTGTCCTGGTCACTTGCTTGACTTTGGAGAGTGGCAATTGCAATGACTTAGCTCAGAGGCTCTTTCAGAGCGCCACCGAAGCTGGCGAGGGGCTTCTATGGGGTAAAAACTCGATTAGCAACATACAGATGCTGGTGTTGATGGTATGTATTGCTCTTACCTGGAACAGGCGGAATATTTTTCCCGGGTGATGTTACTGACGGGTGCACACGTAGGCCCTTTACTACTATCACCTTGATGAAGAAGTACGGACCGGTCGCATGATTGGATTTGCAGCTCGGCTCTGCCTCGAAATGGGCTTACATCGCAGGGCTTCTGTAGATCGCTTTGCCAACTCGGAAGAGCAAGCAGCGGGGCTACAGACGTTCTGGTGTGTGTACATGTTAGAGAGAAGGACAAGCCTGGGCCAGGGGATACCGTTCTATATACAGGACTGCCATGTCGACCCCACACTACTCGCAATGGTAAGATTACACCAACTCTGTGACGTTGTACTGGATTATTCTCCAAGACCTGCTGACAAGCCGATAGAACGGACATGATCCGGTGATGACCGCGCTTCTCGACTGGACCAAACTAGCGGGCAAGACGTGGTACGCCCTCAATAGCCAAGTCGAGAAAGAGAGTGAGCTTAATATCGACAAAATCGACTATCTCGATTACCGGATAGAGCAGTGGTATCAACTCCTGGCTGACGACCTGAAGCTTGAACCCATCCAGCCGGGGCAAGAGGTTCGACATGTTCAGGCTGTGCTATTTCTCCGCAAGAGCCATTTGCACAACTTGATCTGTCGCCCGGTGCTCCAATCTGGTACGCGGATCACGCAGTATCAGAGACATGCTCACAAGGCCGTCGCCGTTGCCAAAGAGTCGCTACAGATGCTCTCAGGCCTCAACGAAAATACCGCCATCATAAAGCGTAATCCGCTTTTTTTCAAGCACCTCTTACTAACTGCTTTTGGCAACCTGTTGCTGGCTGTTGTGAATGCCAGCTCCATGTTCTGTGACAAAGTCACTGTCGAGTTTGACATTGCGCTGGATATGATCAGAGCCCTAAGCAATAGGTCGACGTTGTTGCTGACTCTTTGAGAGCGTCTTCAAGGCCTACGGAAACTCACGACACGGCTGTCTGCCTCTTCGGCCACGGCATCGACTAGCAGCGGGCAAGGTGAACAGAGAGATAGTGTCGAAAGCCCTTCTGATGCTCTATTGTTTGGCAATATGGGAGATATGATGGTTTTTGACCAGCTGAACGGTTTCTTTGATCTTACGCCCATGTCCACGAATTGTACAACGGGCAATTGGACTTTTCCGATTGGCGATTGAGCAAGTTCCGGTCACTTCCGAGCCGGAACTAATAGCGGGGTCAAACTAACTCCGGTCATCCCGTCAGAGTAAGAACTTATTAATAACCAAGCAAAAGAGCCAGCTCAGTGCAGTCAACCCCGCTGTCTCATCTAGCAAATGCTGAAGTTGATGTGATCAAGATCTGAATCAGTGTTTACTTTAGTGTTTGTTCAGCTTTTAGACCCTGCATTCCTAGCAATTGTCTCTCTACGATCGCAGCACTTCCTAACATGGGCTCCCCATTTCCGATGGAGACATTGGCGGGGTACACGTCACGAACAGTGCCCTTCAAAGTTACCTCAGATATAACCATCAACGCCGACGTCGTGTACCCCGAGAAGTCAGATGGCTCTCCCGCTGTTGTGCTGCTGCATTATCACGGTGGCTTTCTTGTAAGCAATTGCTTCCGTTCAAGCCGCATACCCATATGAATTATCTCACTGGGTCGCTTGATCTACGCCGTTCGAAGCTAACAGGAAGACTTTCCTAGATCGTCGGAGATCGGTATTCGTTCTTGCCTCACTGGCTTGTGCATGCCTCCGCCTCCCGTGGATGGGTCTTTGTGACTCCCGAGTACCGCTTGATGCCCGAGTCGACCGCACACGACTCCGTTGAAGATGCAGCGGACGCCTATAAATGGGCCCTGTCGTCACTGCCGGAGATCATAGGCCGTCCGGTCGGTTCAATTTTAGTCGGTGGGTCAAGCGCTGGTGGGTATCTAGCTCTTAACACAGCCGTCTCGGCTGCTCAAAAGCCTAGTGCACTTCTGCTCATCTACGGGATGCTCGATCCTTCTGGTAGTCGATACACAACTCCCGGGAAGAATATCTTCGGCCGGCCGCCAGTCGAGACCGGGCCGATCCTGGAAAAGTGGCCCATGGCCAAGGCTTCGGGCGAAGAGAGGAAGCCTGTCTCAGCTTATCCGATATCAGGCGACCCGTCCGCTGACCCCAGATTTGCTCTTACGTCGGCACTGCACATCGACGCCCTCTTCCCCGACTACATGACTGGCGTCTCTGGTCTTACTCGTCAGATTGCCACTCAAGGAGCTGCAGCAGTACCCAAAGAACACCAACATCTATTCCCACTTGACTTTGGGGATTTCAGTGGCTTCCCGCCTGTCATGCTACTCCATGGTGCGAACGACTCAGCTGTACCGGTTGAGTGTAGCACCAGAGCCGCAGAGAAGCTCAAGGCATCTGGAGTGCGTGTGTTGGCAGAGTTTCCATCTGATGCGGAGCACGGTTTCGATGGAAGGTCCGGTAACGTCAACGTCGAGACTTCAGCTGGGGATTCGGTGACTGCTGTGGAGTCTCTCAGGAAGGCGATTGGTTTCCTCGAGCAGCATGCAGCCAAATAGCATCGACTTTGAAAAGCTCAGCTTTCAATGGAGCTTGAACATAAACCGCGTCAACTTACATTCGATAAGGATGTTAGAGTCAGAGAGTTTAATTTAACAGGTGGATACAACGTACCTCTTAGGATCGAATCATGAACCTATCCAGAAGCCATCTTACTTCATTCATAGTTGATTGCACATTGATTATAAACCCTGGAACAACTTGAGTGTAGTCAGGTCATTCGAGATAACTGAAATAGCCAGCACTCGCTAGCACAGATAGAAGCATTCAAGCTTGATTATTTTCATCCATGACGCAGTCACATAACCGCCATTCTCTTCTTCTTTTTCGACCGACTCATAATCACAAAGATGCCGATATGAGACACGTTACTCGATTTCTTGCACCTTCAACCTATCTTCTACGAACACGACACAACAATGGACCTTCTTTCTCCGAAATTCCAACGCTGATAGTAGAGATAGCTTCCATCGGCTCCACCGCCTCAAGATCATAACATTTAAAGGTTGTTGCAACAAGCTTGAGCATGTTCGTCATGGCCATGTTGCGTCCGATACACATGCGATGACCCATGCTAAAGGGGCTGAGGAAACGCTGGAGCTTCTCCCCTCCTTGATCATAGAATCTTGAGGGGTTGAAAACATCGTGGTCTTTGCCCCAAATGGCAGGATTATGATGAACAACGTGGTTCAGGCTGAACAGGCCGGTCTTGTTGTTTTTGTCAGCAATTCCAGTTACACCAATCTTGGGAGAAGGGAGAGACGCACGCCCTTGGGAGCTACGTAGCCCTCGATTTCGAAGCCTTCCTTGGCAGTCACTTCTCGCTCCAAGGGCATAGTGAAAACAGAGTTCATCCGGAAGTTTTCATCTAGACAAGCCATGACGTATGGAAGCTTTGCTTCAAGGTCTTTGATAGGCACGATGGCCGAACCAACATCATCAACCGCTGCATCGACCTCCTCTACCACCTTGGTATGTACAGCCGGGTTTTGAAGAATGTGAGAAAAGAGAAGAGTAAGGGTTCCGGACGTCGTATGGGAGCCAGCAACACTAATAATATGTTAGAGAAAACAGCGGAGAAAATCAACTGAGCAATGCAACGTCGAACAACCTACATAAATGCAAATGCCTCTGTTTGTATGTCTAGCTCTGTGAGCTTAGCGCCTGTCTCCGTGTCTACGGAGTTGATCAGACTGGTGATGAGGTCTTTTCGAGCAGCACCAGTGTCAGCTAATCGGTTTCTCACACACTGCGCGGTAAGGGTCTTGAGATTTTTTCTAGCTGCGAGAAGCTGTTGCAGCCATGGAATCGGGATCCATGGAGAGATAGCTTTGATGAGCGGCATAAAATCAGGAATCATGCCCATTAGGCAAGCAAGAAAGATGTGGTCATTGATGGGAGGCAATTTCGAAATGTCCTTTTCGATCTGCGAGTCAAATTGACAGCGGAAGGCGAGATCTCCTAGAACATCAAGGACAAAGAAGGCTATCAGTTCCTTGAGGTCGAAAACTTGGCCAGTTTGGGAGTACTCGTCGAGGTTATTGCGGAATTGAAGCATGTGACCGTCAATGTGCTGCTCCATTTCTTTGATCGACTGCAAAGAGAATGCGTGTGCCATCTGCCGTCGCCGCATCGAGTGTACCTTGGAAAATCAGTGTGTGATCTCCCATACCTTGCGAAACTTCCAACGACTCACCTCTTCATCTCGAGTTCCAAACAAATTGGGATTGAAAGAAGTGAAGCCATCATAAAAAGCTGTCTTGGCCAAAGTTCGGCCAGCCTTGTAAATCCTCGGTACGGCACTCCCTTGTCTGAAGGAAAGCATGTTGGGGCCAATGCGGACGACATCCCCATACTTCTCGTGCAGAACGACTAGGGTCTCCGGTAGGTGCAAGTTCCATAGTTCCCGGAGTCTCCAGAAGTTGGTAACTGACGCAAGAAAAGGGCCAGGGAATCTGGCCAAAGGATGTATTTTCCGGTAGTAGAACGTATAGAGGCCGATGAGAACAGCCAAAAAGGCTGTGATCGACGCGAAAGGGTGCGCGGTTGCGACTGGCAATAGCTGTTTGGCGTCCATGTCTGCCTGGATTTCTGATCTCTGGTGTTATCGGGTCATTGGATTTACGCACATCTAGGAGGATAATGAAGGCCTAATATATGCCTAGCTTGTTTGACTTCAGCAGTGCAGACCCTCGTAAGTCCATGTCCCTTCACATTCAAGTGTGGGCGGCCGAAATTCCGAAAACATACTTCGGATTGCTTCATACAGTTTGATGATTCCGTCTGGGCCAATCGGATTGCTCCACCGGCAGATCGAAACGGAATTTCAGAGGTGGACACTGAGAAATGGAGAGGGACCGTTCCGTGCGAGCCAATCAAGTTGGTCTAACTTTCGGAACCCCAACTTACACGGGTCATTCTGATCGTTTATCAGGATGGTCTTGAACCTCGGGCCTATCAGAAGGTACTGCCGCCTGGTCTGCACTAAGTCCTGAAGTTACATCTGAGGACCTGATCTAGCGGTCGCGTGTCTAAGAAAACAAAGTAGGTAAGGAGGTGTAGCAAACGCCAAAAGAGGCAGATCATCTTAAAACACATTTCATGGAATTACAAGAAGTTTGAAACATTTTATCGTCGTTTATGCTTTCACGCCTCAGAAGTCACTACTTCGGGCTCTTTTCTTAAAGGCACTTAATTAAGTACATGATGTTGTGGACCTCAAGAAACGGTCAATGCCAAATAATAGAGGCTACAGAGCTGGAAGATCTACCCACGTGTTGATGCAAGATACACATGTGTAATGTAAGAGCACCATTTCAGATGTGTCTTCCTTCTCGGAAATGACATTCAAAGGTGATAGCTACATCTATCCGGTGAAACACATCGATTAAACTGGTTGCCTGTCCCTGCAAATGCTCCTCTAACCTCATACCGCCACGCTAGTTCAGTTCAGTCTGGACGTACTCAAAGTCCTAAAAACAGTGATGTTAGCCTTGCTACGTTATGGAAGCTTGGAATAGATTCAATATACCGCAGGATTTAGAGTCGGAAGTCTAGTTCCGGTACTGTAGATCGCGAAATGGGTTCCAACGAAGTTCTGCCAGCCCTCAACGTATGACTGGAGCCAGCGATTCTCAACAGTCGCAAGCCAACTTGGCGCTTTATCTCCTGTAGAGTATCCTAAACGATATCCTACATCCTTGGCCTCGATGAAAAGCTTCACTGGCTCGCCATTGGCAACATCCTCATCCTCAATGTAGGTAGTATTGAGTGTAGCGTCGGGGCCCGTTCTAGTGTGCGTGACTATGCATCGCCTACCAGTATCGTTCGAGTAAGTAATGGCGACTTCGTTGTGGTAGTGAATGCTGAGATAGACACTCGCACCGGCCTCCTGTCTCCACGATGCCGGGCTGAAAGAGCTGACTTCGGTGCTAAAGGTAGTATTGATGTCGACCTGCTTGCGAAGTAGTGCTGCCGGGGTTTCGCGATCGTTCAGAGTGTAAACATTGCCTCTGATTCGGAGCTTGCCAGGGCTGGACTCGAAGTCTGTGAAGCCTTTGTATGGTGTCCGTGTATAGTAGTAGGCTTCATCAGTGAGTCCACCCTCGAAATCGTCGCGCCATATCTTGGGCCGGTTCAAGTCGTACAGAACGTCGGGCATGTATTCAGCAATCGGCTCGTTGTTGTTGAACATGGGCCACCCGTCAGCGTCCCATGTAACAGGACACAGGAAGGTCTCGCGACCAAGCTGAGGAAGTCCAGTACTGTTCCTAGGATTCTGTGGTCGAATCGCTAGGAAAACGGCCCACCAGTTTCCATCGGCGTCGTCAACAATGTCTGCATGCCCCGTAGCAAGTACTGGCAGAGACATATCTTCGCCATTCCACAATACAGGGTTATGAGGGTTTCCTTCCCACGGCCCGTCCAAAGTCTGAGAGCGATATACATTTGCTTTGTGATTAGCCTCGGTTCCAGAATCGGCAGTGACCATGTAATATGTGCCGTTGAGTTTGTACAAGTGGCTCCCCTCGGTCTAAGATAGTTCGGTTGACGATTAGCTAAGACGGTTTCATATTATGCTGGTCGTTATGGCGAATGAGGCTTACGAGTGGGTAGCCAAGCTCTGGAGGTACCGTTGTCGTGTGGAGAACACGGGAGTTACTCAAGGAGTCGCCAGTCTTGATGTCGATCTCGGTGATCCAGTTTGCAAAATTACCATTCTCGACAAATTCAGAGAATGTCGAAGTCAAATAGACTTTCCCATCATCGTCGAAAAAGAGGTCCGGGTCGAAGCCCCACTGGTCAACATATGTAGGTTCACTCCAACTAGCCTGATCAAATATATTTGGGGTCGTGACGTAAAATGAACGGGGCACCCGTGTAACCTATGGGAAAAGCCCACCAGTAAGTGGCCAAAGTTCCTCTCACATACTACGCTTAAAGAACTCACATTGTCCGGAGGGCTGATCACGTCGAACACTGTGTCAATCAAGTAAAAGAGACCGTTGTGGTGTCTCAGCGTTGGCGCAAAGATACCACCACTCGGAGCGGTACCGCGCATGTTCAGCTGGGACGGCCGCGATAGTGCATGGCCAATATTTTCCCACTTCACGCTGCATCGGTTGAGTGAGCATTGGGCAACACGGTGCTACGCAGGTCGCTCAGAAACAAGTAGACTCACAGGTCGGTTGAGTGGTAAATGGGGACGCCGGGAAAGAACTCAAAAGTGCTAGTTGCAAGGAAGAAGTCTTGACCAACTCTAATGATCGTTGGGTCCGGATTAAACCCCGGAATGATAGGGTTCACAAGTCCTTGTGCGAAAGCTATCCGGAAAGTTAGCCTTGGGTAGATAGTTTAGTCGATGCTGATAACCTGGTGAACTCACTCGGAAGCAATGCAACGACCGAGGCCAGTGGCATGAAAATAGTGGACTTCATATCGGCTGTCTCAGTGTCATCGAACCCAAATGCAACACAAATATGGTACTACCCAACCTTCT